AGACCACCATGAATGGTGATTGGTTTGATGACGTCCAGAGATCAGTGGTAAGTGCTATCCAATCAACACTGTTAGGGTTCTTCTGAGGGGAGCAGGACAGGATCTTCTGAGTTCGGGTTCGTAATGGTAGATTGCAAGATGAGGAATGTACAAGGTTTGGATCTCGAACGAACTCCAAGTTCGAAGTTTGTGACATGTACGTAACAGGCTCTCTACATATGTAACGTCCCCAGTTCCAGTCCTCCACAGCTCATAACACTATCCCCCCTTTAATGCCCAAGCCGCCCCCGTTGTTGTTCTAGAAAAATTTAACTATGGATAAAAAATATAAAAAAAATTCCTCCTCTTTTGGCTCTGCATTCTTTCCCCAGGCAGCGTTAAAAAACCCAGTGGGAAAAAGCTTGCCCTCTCACTTCATTCTCCGTGACCTCTTGTGTCTTGACGCCGCATCCGGAAACTTCATGTTGAATTCGGCGACTAGTTCTCGACAGTGTTCCAAGTTGACCTTGGGTTCCCACGAGTTCTCCTCCGGTCCAAAGCCTTTCCAGCTGACTAAGTATTCGACCTTCTTCCCACTTCTCCGACAGTCTAGTACGCCTTCCACTTCCCACTCCTCCTCATTGTTGACCTGTACTGGTTCTGGTGATGAATGGCGCCTTCCAGTGATAGTGTCCGGGTTGTGCTTCCGTAGTACTGAAACATGAAACACCGGGTGAACACCCTGCATGGATAATGGCAAAGTCAGCTTGTACGCAGATTGGGATATTTTCTTAGAAATTTGGAATGGTCCCAGCCATCGGTGGTCCAGCTTGGGGCTGGGTCTTGTTGTCGAAATATTCTTGCTGTTCAACCAAACCTCTTCGCCAACGTTCCAAACTGGGGTGTCCTTTACTCCTTTGTCGAATTGGGTCTTCATCGATTCTTGAGCTGCTTCTAGACATAACTTGAGTTCTGACTGGACTTCATCAATTTGCTTGAGTCGTTCTTCAACTACTGGCAGACACTGTTCATTTGATGGGATACCGCCGTAGGAAGGATTGAAGCCGTAGTTTGCCTTGAGTGGTGAGACTCCAATTGAGACGTGATCATTATTGTTGTAAGCAAATTCTGCCGTTGCCAAGAGCGGTTCCCAGTTGTCCTGTCGGTACTGAACAAAGTGCCGTAGGTACTGCTCCACCGCCTTATTTGCGATTTCGGATTGCCCGTCAGTTCGAGGGTGGTAGGCAGTCGAAGGGTGGAGTCGGATTCCAAGTTGCTTGTCCAATTCTTGGGTGATCTGAGAGATAAAAACACTTCCTCTGTCCGAGACAATTGTCTTTGGTGTGCCGTGGAGTTTCCAAACCTGTTTCAACATAAGATCTGCAAGCTGTTCAGAGTTCATGGACTTGTTGCAAGGAAGGAAGTGGGCCATTTTAGTCAGTCTGTCAATCACAGTGAGGATACTGTCGCAATTGCTGGATAGGGGGAGGTCTGTTATCAAATCATAGCTGATGTCCGTCCACGGGCCTGCAGGGATGGGCAACGGTTCCAACGTCCCAAATGGTTTCTGGGTTGAGGATTTGACCCAAAGACAAGAGTCGCAGCCATCCACGTAGCGGTTGACAAAGCTTTTCATCGATGGCCACGTGAAGCTGCGGCGTATCAGCGAGAGCGTTTTTGATCTTCCTGGGTGTCCTGCTAACTTGCTGTCATGGCGGCTCCTCAGAATTTTGGTCTTGAGGTCTTCATTCCGGGGTACTTCAATCCGTCCGCTCCTGTAGAGCACTCCGTCCTTCACCGAGTAATGCTTGGTGGCCTCCTTCATTCGACTGGACACTGGGTTCTCACAAGCTGAAATCAATCCGGTCAGTCTGGAATCAGATGGAGTCAAAGATCGGATTTGGCTTATCAGTTCGCTGTCTGTTGGAATATCCTCCGACGGAGTGCTGGGTTCCTCCACCCCGAGAATGTCCACTTGGAACCAATGTTCGGCGTCATCCAGATCCACAGACTCGTCTTCAAACCAGCAGTCAAATTCAGCCACTTCAGCAAAGGTGTCGGGGGTGATGTTTTCGGGTCGCAGCAGTTGTCCAAAGGTGAGCTTGTCCTCCTTTGAAGGAGCCAAGTCGGGTCGTCTGGACAGGGCATCCGGTTTGGACGACTGTCGGCCCGGTCGGAAAACAATCTCGAAGTCAAAGCATCCCATGGTTTCGGCCCATCTCGCTTGTCTCCTTGTCAATTGTTTGGTTGTCATGAAGCTTTCAAGGTTCCGGTGGTCGGTGTAGACAATTGCTTGTAGTCGATTCGGGTTGCCCTCTAGATAGTGACGCCATTCCTTGAAAGATGCTACAATTGCCAGCAATTCCTTGTCAAAAATCTCATAGTTCTTCTCGGATTGGACCAGCGACCGTGATAGATACGCCACTGGGTGAAGTTCTTGATCCTTGTCGCAGATTTGGGATAAGACAGCACCAAGTGCAAAGTACGAGCAGTCACATTCAAGGACAAAAGGCCTGTACAGGTTGGCTATCTTCAGTACTGGCGCCGTGGTGAACGCGGTTTTCAGAGTTTCAAAGGCCTTGTTGCACCGGTCGTCCCAGACGTAGGGAGTTTTGTCCTTGGTCAGGTCGTGGAGAGGTCGGGCTATTCCTGAAAAGTGGTCAATGAATCGCCGGTAGAAGTTTGAGAAGCCAATGAAACGCTGTAGTTCGGTCACATTCTTGGGCGGTGGCCATTCGGATACAGCTTTGACTTTAGTCGGGTCCATCCTCAGCCGGTTACATGATATCAAAAGTCCCAAGTATTCCACTTCTGGTCGAGAGAATTCACATTTTTCCAGTTTCATCCAAAGTCAATGCTTGCTAAGTGTCTCCAATACCCCCATGACTGCCGCTTGGTGGTTGGTTACGTGTCAGAGACACACAACCCCTCATCAAAAATCCTAGCTTGCCTCACGGGCTCCACGCCAAAAGGTGAGGGTTTTTTTGGAATTGACGAAGCTGCATCGACAGCTGCAAAATCCTGTGGGCTTTTCCTGAATTTCCGGTCAGTCCAATCGATGAGGTGTCCATGCTTACGGATCCAAGGCATTCCAAGGATCCCGTCGTAAGAGTCTTTCAGGCGAGTGATGATGAATGGGGAAGGAGATGGGTCGGTGTCAAGAGTCAGGTGGATATCAAATGAAGAACGGCTTGAGGAACCGTCAAAACCAGAGATGGTACGATGAGAGGGTCTGGCAATATCAAGGAGTCCCGTAGACTTGGCATAAGACTCGCCAATCACGTCATGGGTTGCTCCCGAGTCAATGAGAAAAGTAGCGGGAGGGAGTGGCAACAGGGTTGTGGCTCAAGAATGTTTGGGTGGCACGATGGCCAAAGAAATAAATAAACGCGGATCAATTTGATTTCTTGAAAAAATTTCACTGGCGCCAATGCTAACAACAAACAACTCTCCACTGCTCAGGATAGGCACATCCTTCATTCCTGAGCTCCTCCATTTTTTGACGACTCCACTCTACTGCCTCCTGCCTTCAACTGTTTGACCTCTTCTTTGAGTTCGGCGATCCGGGACTTCTCCTTCCCTTTCCCCTTCTGTCCACGGTCCGGGCAATCCCTCGAGATGTGGCCTTGGTTCCCGCATTGGAAGCACTGGCCCGCTCGCATCATCCTGGTCTTCTCCGCATCCGAAAGGCGGCCACGCATGACTGATAAGTCCATCGCATTGGGGTCCGGGGTCTTGGCCGTCTCAGTGGGTGCTAGGCCGTGGAGTTCGTTGTCGATCTGCAGGGCCAGGGTGGCGATGTCGGCCAGTTCGGAGAATTCGGTACGACTCATCAGCAACATCAGGCGTATTTGGGATTGCAGGCCTTGTCTGTACTGGCTGATGAGGACGGCGGGAGCCCAGCCGGTGTTGTGGGCGTGCAGGTTGAACTGGTGGGTGTAGTGAGAGACCGACTTGGTCTGTTTGAGCGCTCGTAGGGCTGCTTCCGCCTTGGTCTTCTTCTCGGTGTCGCAATACATGGCGGTGAACTGAGTGTCAAAGTCGTCTTTACTGATAGTTTCAGTATCGCTCATCACCTTCTTCATCCACGGTTGGGCCCAAGAGCTAGCCGGTCCAGTCAGGTAGGACAACACAAACACCATGATGGCGCGGTTGGTGCCAAAGAGGTGTCCGTTGGCCAGGACATAAAGGTTTACCTGGTTGATGAAAACCTCCGCTTTAGCTCCACGGGTGCCATCGAACTTGTCAGGGACGCCGATCTTCGGGCCTTTGGCCGGCGGGGCTGGTCCTTGCGGCTTATTGTCGGCGTTCTTCAGGGCCTTCGTCAGTTGGGCCTCCTTCCTGGCTAAACGCTCCTCCGTCTCCTTCCGGACCTTGCGTTCCTCCTCGACCACGGCCAGGAGTTGGGACAGTTGCGCCTGGACCTCAGCGAGTTTGGCGTCCTTCTCATCTACGTCCATAGCAAAACAGTACGGGGCAGCTCACAGAGTGGCAGGTAATGCTTTGACGGTGTGTAGAGACTTCGGAAGGTGCAACTAAAATTGTGGAGGCTTACTTTTGTACTCTCACGCCTCGCCAAACGGCTCGTGTGGGCTCTCTTTGGGGGTCTGGGGTGTCTTGGGGGGGTTCTGGGGTCTTTCGGGGAGTGTTCTGGGTGTTCAGGGGGGTTTCTGGGGGTTCCTGGGGTGTTCCAGGGGGTTTTCTGGGGTTGTTCTGGAAGTTCTGGGGGGTCTAGGGTGTCCTGGGGGGATTCAGGAGGTCTTGGGGTCCTTGGGGGATGGTCTGTCCTCCTCAGGCGGTCTCACTGGTGTCTGGGGTGTCTCACAGGGTTGGGGGTTCCCTTAGTGGATTCAGGGGGTTCTGGGTTCAGTGATTTCAGGGGGTCTGGGGTAGGGGTTCCCTCTTTTTGGGGAGAGTCAGGGGTGTGGGGGGTCTTTATTGCCAATAGATGGTGGATAGGGGCCTCCTGTGGGGTCCTGGGGCTCCTGGTGTACTGCAAAGTTGGCCTAGGCGCGGTCAAAATGGCCTGTAGGTCGTTGAGGGGTCAGGGGGTTCTCCGGGGCCTCGGGCGACGATCGGGACCGTCTAACGGTCTTTCCGATTGCTTAGAGCCTCTGGATGTAAACAGACGGTCCTGGGGCCGGTCCGAACAAAATCCGATGGCCTGGCGGGTTGTAGAGTCAATCGGACGGTCTGAGGGCCGTACCGAGCTGGATCCAAGGATCTGGGGACCGTTCCGAACGGTTTCCGAGGATCCGTCGGGATCTAAAGGTCTAGGGGGGTGTAGTTCGTCGAAGGACGGTCTTAGGGCCGTTCCGAGTGGGATCCGAGGATCTGGGGGCCGCTCCGAGGCTAGCAATCGGTTTCCGAGGGTCCGTAGCGGCCTAAGGGGCCGTTTGCAGCGATCCGGTGTAAAGCCCGACGATCCGAAGATGAACGGCGACCAAGGGGTTTCCTGGGGGTCTAGAGACTTCCTGGGGTTTCCTGTGGGTACAGGGAAAGAGGGAGAGTTGCAGGGGAGTAAGTGACAGGGTTGAGAGAAGTAATAAACAAGGTTTGAGATAAAGTTTGAGGAGTGGTTTTCAAGGTTGTAAGGGGTGATGTTCAAGGTTGATTTTCAGAGTTTGAGAGGCGGTTTCGGAGATGTTATTCTGAGTATAACTGTCCTGGTCTCCTGGTGAGTGATCTTGCAATATGTTAGGGTTCTTCTGAGGGGAGCAGGACAGGATCTTCTGAGTTCGGGTTCGTAATGGTAGATTGCAAGATGAGGAATGTACAAGGTTCGGATCTCGGACGAACTCCAAGTTCAAAGTTTGTGACATGTACGTAACAGGCTCTCTACATATGTAACGTCCCCAGTTCCAGTCCTCCACAGCTCATAACAAACACTAGCTATTTCCTTTGAAAGCTTGATCTTGATAAGTTTGAAAGTTGCCATGATATTGGTCTTGAGTGTTGTGCGGGAGAAGTTCTTGAATTTAGGTTGAAGTGAGGCTACAAACGCCCAGAAGACGGAGAACTCTACAAATTGGAAGGGTAGTTTGTGGGAAATAATCATCTTGACCAGTAGCTCCCGTGACACCTGCTGAGAAAAAAACTACGCCGATGGGGTTGCGCTTGATCCACCAAGCTTCAGCAATCCCTGCTTTGACTTTGATTTGTAATCCTTACATTGATTGAGGTGTCTCCAGAGGCAAGTCGTCCCTTGCGTGCTCTGGCCATTCAGAATCTTCTGGCAATATTTTCAAGTGGCCTTGGTGGCATCACCTGAGAATAAAAAAGGGTCCAAGACCCAAGTAAGTACTGTGAATGTATAAAAAAATTAAAAGAGTGTGTTGATGTTGAAGAAAAACTAACCAGTGCCACCTTTGGAGAAGTGAAGCCAAACATTGCTCCTTTTCTGGGGTTCCCCATCAGTGGATGTGTTTGAATTGCTTGTGACAGTTATTTTGGCTGGATTGGATGGAGTCAATTGTTTGGTGGTCTCCTATGAAGCTGGCTCCGTCACCTGTGTTTGAGTCAAACCTTGATTGGCTGAGTTTGCTGTTGGGAAAGAACTTTCCGCTTTTGGATTTTGAAACATCACCTTTCTGGTGTCCAATTGCATGCAATCGGACACCAGCAAGGTGAAGCGCTTCATCTTTTTCTTAGCCATGTCCAATTGCACAAAATCGGACACAACAGCTTTCACCTTGCTGGTGTCCAATTGCATGCAATCAGACACAAGCAAGGGCAGATTTTCTTGCTGTATTCTAGTACAGTACAGAGAATACAGCAAGAAAATACAGTAACTAGTCGGGTTCTTGGGTTGGTCTCGGGCTGACCTGAAGATCCCAGCGCCTGCCCAAACCCGACCTGAGAAATAGTCAGGTCAGAGTTGGCCAAAAACCTGCCCAAACCCGCCCCATAACCCGTTGGGTGTTGGGTATCACTCGGGTCGACCTGACCCGTAGCTGGTGCCTTGTGGCATGTGCAACGAGCCTGTCATGTACATGTCACAAACTTTGAACTTGGAGTTTGTTCGAGATCCACACCTTGTACATCCCTCATCTTGCAATCTACCATCAAGAACCAGAATCCTGAAGATCCTCACCTACTCTCCCCAGAACACCCCTAACATATTGCAAGATCAACCTACACATAGACCAGGACAGAGACACCCAGAACACCACCCTCAAAGCCTTGAAAATCAACCCTGAAAACCTAACTCTCAAACCTTGAAAATCCTTCGCTTGAACCTCTCTCAAACCTTGTCTATCAACCTTGAAAACTCACCCCCTACCTCTCTCTCATCCTCACAGACCCCTCAGGACGGCCCCCAAGGAGGTCGTTTTTTTGGCTTTTTGTCGGATCACACCGGATTGTTGTAGGGCCCTTGGAACTTGCCCAGGACCCTTGCAACGCCCTCAGATCACTCGGATCAGGCCTCTGAACGCTCAGAGAACCCCCAGGACCCCTCCATACTCCCACAAGACCCCAGATTGTCGTTGGACGACCCGGATCGACTCGGAACATTGTCGGACGACCCAGGGAGACCCCCCACGCCCCCTAGCGCTCCCCAAGGCCCCAGCGGCCCTCCAAACGCCCTCCAAGGCCTCTGAAGCGCAGCAAAGCGTCCCAGGACGCCCCAGCGCGGCTATAGACCTCAAAGACCCCCCCAGCGCGCCCTAAGGCCCTCAGACAACCTACCAGAGCGCCCTAGAGCCCTCAAGAAGCCCCTCAGAGCGCCCCAGAGCCCCATTGAAGCCCCTGAGACCCCCCTAAAAGAGGAGTGGAGGACATTCCAACCCCCCAAACCCCCATATCTAAATGAAATAAACCCCACAACCCGCGTAAGAACCCCTGAACACCCCTTCAGGACCCAAAGGAGGACACCTAGGCCCTTAGAGCCGCCAGGACCCCCGTGAGAATCCCAGAACCCCCAGAAAATCCCCAGAAAACCCTCTGAAACACCTGAGGAACCCCAAGACCCCCCCAGAAACCCCCCCTGAACACCCAGAACACTCCCTAAAAGACCCCAGAACCCCCCCAAGACACCCCAGATCCCTGAAGAGAGCTCACACAAGCCGTTTGGCAAGGTTTAAAAGTACAAAAGTAAGCCTCCACAATTTTAGTAGCACCTTCCAAAGTCACTACACACCGTAAAAGCATTACCTGCCACTCTGTGAGCCACCCTGCACTACTTCACTATGAACACAGACCCGAGGGACGCCAAGCTCGCCAAGGTCCAGGAGCAACTAGCCAAACTGTTGACCGTGATCAACAAAGAGTGCAAGGCCCGGAAGGAGACGGAGGCTCAATTGGCCAATAGGGAGGCTGAACTGGCGGCGGCCGCAACAGCCACCAACAACCCACCGCAAGCTCCAACTGCACCGGTCAAAGGCCCCAAGATTGGAGCCCCCAACAAGTTCAATGGCACTTGCGGAGCTAAAGCAACCAGGTAAACCTCTATATTCTGGCCAACCCACACCTCTTTGGCACCGACTGCGCCATTATGGTTTTCATCTCGTCCTACTTGACTGGCCCGGCCAGCTCCTGGGCCCAACCGTGGATGAAGAAGGTGTTGTGCAAGACTGAGACTGTCAAGAGGGACAACTTTGTCACTCAGTTCAACACCATGCACTGCAACACTGAGAAGAAGACCAAGGCAGAAGCAGCCCTCCAAGCGCTCAAGCAGACCAAGTCGGTATCTCACTACACCCACCAGTTCAACCTGCACACCCACAACACCAACTGGGCCACCACCGTCCGCGTCAGCCAGTACAGACAAGGCCTGCAACCCCAAATCCGCCTCATGTTGCTGATGGGTTGGACTGAGTTCCCGGAATTATCCAACATTACCACCCTGGCCCTGCAGATCAACAATGAACTCCACGGCCTGACCCCAACGGAGACGACCTAGGCCCCAGACCCCTGGACTTATTGGTCATGCAAGGGCGTCTCTTGGACGCAGAGAAGACCAGGATGATGTGAGCGGGCCAGTGCTTCCGTTGCAGGAATCAGGGACACATCTTGAGGGACTGCCTGGACCGTGGCCCAAAGGGGAAAGGAAAGGAACGATCCCGGATCGCCAAACTCAAGGAGGAGGTCAAGCAGTTCAAGGCTGGAAGTAGCAGGGTGGATTTGTCAAAAAATGGAGGTGCTCAGGAATGAAGGATGTGCCTATCCTTAGCAGTGGAGAGCTGTTTGTAGTTAGCATTGGCGCCAGTGAAATTTTTTCAAGAAATCAAATTGATACACGTTTATTTATTTCTTTGCTCATTGTGCCACAACCCCATTGTCACTTCCCCCCACTACTTTTCTCATTGACTCTGGAGCAACCCATGATGTCATAGGTGAGTCATATGCCAGGTCAACAGGACTTCTTGACCATGCCAGACCATATCTGGTTTTGACGGCTCTTTGAGCCACTCCTTGTTTGATATTCACCTCACCTTAGACTCAGACTTAACCCCTTCCTGTCAGCCTCTGCGTAACTAACCTGAGTGTTTAAGGGTGAGAAGGTTGTTACTATGAGTTGACTGAGTGTTTTGAGCGTGGTGAGTGTTAGGTAGTGGGTGAATTAATACCAGTCCTGTAAAGAGGAGGTTTCACTCTATCAGTATGGTCTTTACTGAGAGGCTTGCTATCAACAGCGCATCCGGATCAATACTCGGTATTAATAGGCATCCAGGGTACTAAGACTCACCTGGGATTGATTTGGTTATTCCCAAAAGGGAATGGGCTAACAATACTTATTAAGCTTTAACAAAATTGGCTGAAGATTAATAAATATTGTTGAGGGAATATTCAGCAAGGCTATGAATATTGTGGATAATTTGAGTAATATACTGAAGCTTAAGAACAATAGAGGTAGACTTTATTTAAGTTGAGTTACGTGTAATGTATCAAAATAAATGTTAACTGGGTTTAACTGGTGTCTGAATATTCTGGGGATTAATCAGTGAAAGAGGCACGGATTATAAGTTCCAGAATATTGAAGGAGGGAAAGAATGAGTGCTCAGAATCAAGGGAGCTTTGGCCAGGAGAATGAGCACATCAATTGAGTGACTGATCATTATTTGTCATGATCTGTAAGTGACATCATAATTGTGTACTAGTTGATCAATGGACTAGTTGCTCTTGATGTGTGTACTTAACAGATCCTCTAATAATGTAGTCATAATTGTGATCAGTGCATCTATTGAATGTATTAATTCTATTGACACTTAATACTTACTATTTAATACATGTACATATTTATTTGTAATAATATTTGACCGTGAAAATACTGTAGAAGAGGGATAACTTGTGGTACAGGTATTTCACGGACAGAGGAGTGAAAGGTAAGTGATAATTACTGATGTAGAACACAGGTATGTATTTAACAGATAAGCAATTAACAGATAAGATAAATATAAGATAAATAAGATAAGTTAATAATAATGATAAGATAACAAGAGGTAAAGGTAATCAACATTATGGATAAGTACTTAGGTACATAAGTACAGGTGTTGCAGTTACTTGGGACATGAAGGTACTGTGACATGTACTCTGTGGCTGACACTTCCCCATTCATCATTACCCAACTGAAAGACTCTTACAATGGTATCCTCAGCATGCCTTGGATCCGTAAGCATGGAAACCTCATTGACTGGACAACCCGACAATTCAGGAAGCCCCAAATTGCAGCTATCGAATCAGCTTTGTCAATTCTGAAAAAAACCTCACCTTTTGGTGTGGAGGCCGTGAGGCAAGCTAGGATTTTATACAAGGGGGTGTGTGTTTCTGACATGTTAACACCCCTGCAATGTGAGTTCAATAAAGCCCCTCCCCCCAAAATTACTCTTGCAACAGCTGGCAAGCCTCTTCCCTTCCTATGTAAGGTCTGGATATGAAACTAGAAGGAAATTCTAGTACTATTCCTGTCCTAATAAATTTGTTAGGAATTTTTAGAGTAGATTTTTAAAGCTTAAAGTATATTTAAACTCACAAAAAAAAGAGAATTGTTGGTTAAACAATCAAAGAAATTATAACCTCACAATTTTACTTGTTAAGAGGCCTAGAGTTGAGTTTCAATCAATACTCTGAATTCCAAAGGAGGAATTAAGGATGAGTGAATGGTTTGTTAGAAAATAGATCACAAGGAGTTTGTCCAAAAAGGTCTTTTGGATGAGTTGATAATTCCTGGGCAATTTCTAGAGCAATACTTCTGCAACAGAAAGTAAGAAAATGGCCAATTTTAAAGGAATACGGAGCTGGGATCTTTTAAGGGCAAAGGCTATAGGTTAAGGCTGGAAGTAGCAGTAAAAGAGGAGCTCTGTTTTGTGGTTATAATGCTAAGGTTGATAAGAGAAATGGTTGGAAATGCTGGCTTCAGTTATATAATAGTGTATATGGTGAAGTGGGTGAATTTCTGGGGTTTAAGCACTCAATAAAGGAGTCTTTATGTAGCCACACACCTGAGGGTGACTTACAGTGCATTTTTGCACGATGACACTGATGCTTTGGGCTTGTTTGGCTAGGTGTAAGCCTTGCTCAAGGCCTTGGTTATCAGTATCCCAAAGGCTGAAACAGTTGTAACTGTAACCACAGGTACAGCTACCCAGTCAGGATATTATGATGCAATACCAAGGTATTGCTAGGGTCATAGATACCCAAAGGAGGCTTTTTTTGCCTCTAATCCTTTTTGGAGGGGATTGGTTGAGGTATTCTGATATGTACTGGCTGAGAACAGATTAACTACTTGGGCCAGATTGAAATGGGCCAATCCTCAACCCTGTTGATTTCAAACTGGACCAGGGTTATTCTGGTGGATGGCTGATGTAAGACAAACTTAACACAAGCCCGCGTCCCTGCTGTGGCGTGGTGCACTATAGCCGCTCGTTGAGTGTGCAAGCACCAGGGACTCTCCCGCAGGGAGAGGACTTGGGAATTACGAAGCACTTCCGCTTGAGGGAATGTGCAAGCTTTGGTGTCAGTTGATGCTGTGAGCACCTGCAGCCCTTAGTTTTCAATGGTTTTTTTTTCTTAATAGTTTTAACCTTGTATTTTCCTTTATGGAACACTAGTCAACTCGGAAATTTAATACATATCCCCCTCCATGATAAAATAAATTCATGAAACTTTGAGTTTCATGATTTTCCGTGGCCGCTGAGTAGCAAGGCCATGGCTTTTTCGGAGTGCTCTTTTTTTCTATGGTTTTCGCCTTTTTCTCAACGGCTGTCTTTTTTTTAACGCTTCTCTCTACCCGCCGCATACAACCTAACCAACACCTCACTGGCCGATCAAATCAACACCTCAAATGCAAACCAATTCGAATCGTTCAAAAATTGGAGATACAGGTACGCTTTGTTGAAGCCTCCAGACTGAACAAATGCTAACATCAGTATTATTTTGCTATGTCATGTGCAACAGATCCAACTACGTCCTCTGTAGAGAAACCGCCACCGGTACACACATCAACTTTGCCAATTGAGGCTCAATGTGAGACTTATAAAGAGATATTGTCAAACGTACCGATCATCGCGGTTGAAGAATTGACCGTCACAGGAGCCAATCCGTTTGACACAGCCACGTCCGGCAAAGACCCAAACTCCTTGGTTTTGCAAGGGGTAGGGACTTTGGGAAATTTAGAAGTAGAACATCCGATTACGAATCTCGCAATCATACGTTTCTCATCTCGCAAGCAGTTGTTTCTAACCTCGCGAGCAGTCGTTTCTAACCTTGCAAGCAGTCGTTTCTAGCCTTGCAAGCATCTGTTTCCAACCTCGCGAGCGGTTGTAAGCTAGACAACAATGGTACAACCCAATGGGACTAGATTCCAAAGAGCAAAGAGGACAGAGACTTCCAAGCTCAAGGCTATATGTAGTGTCATCACTCAAATGAATCATACTCCGAAATTGTTCCTCGCTTCCTTCCTGACAAGCGATAATATAAGCATGGCTATTCAACGACGTTACTGGAGGACTAAGACAGGATGGAAATCAACATTAAAGCTGTTAGAAGTAATCCGCTTGTTTGTTTGCCAAAATAATGATGGAAAAGCTCAGTGGGAGAGATTTATACTTGATCAGGTATTGCATTCACTTTCAGACCAACATTTCCTATTTTCAATTACTTTTTTATGCTTCAATCACTAATTGCTGCCTTGATGTTGAAAAACCAGGCCGAAAAAATTGTTCAATCACAAAAACCACCAAGTGGAGCTTACCCCGATGGCACGTACCACAATACAAACAAAATCACTGAGCAACTTTTTACTCCATCATCAAAGAAATTGAGAGACGATGAACTGGTGACAGAACACATACCCTTTCTATTTCAACTGATCTACAGAAATCTAGCCATTCAAGCAAACAGCAACACCAATACCAACAAACGTGAGGATGACTCAGATGATGGCGAGGATCCGATTCCAGCAGCACATGTAGTGTTGAGGGACACCAGGGACTGAAATGAAAGACTGAAGTCTGAACTCACAAGAGGGACTATTCGATGAGAAAATAATGTATTGATTCAGTGAGGAAAGAAGTTCGAGAGACAGTCCGGTAACTCAGTAGTAGTGGGAGGCTTGATATAAGCATAACTAGGTACAAGCATACGACATGTACTACATACAGGATTGACTAATCCAACATCCCCCCTTGCTGATAACAAGCCATAGATTCAGCACCACTAATATAAAAGGAAAATGGGTAGTTGTACTGTCATAGTAGAACTTCCGTGAAGTAGGCCAAAAAAAAACTTTTATAGCGTACTGAGAAATGAAAAAAATTGACAGCAGGCAGTATTCAGTTACTCGTAGATAACATTGACCTCGTCTTCATCATCAAAGGAACCGGAGTCGTAGCCACCAAGTTTCACAGTGGTTGCGGCGCCGGCTTTGGTCTTGTTATAGGTCTTCTTTCAACAGTCGGACGATCGATGGCCCCGTTTGCCACAATTGGAGCAAGCCAGGTGTTTAGCAGAAGCAGCCGCGACAAGGTCGTGTTGGCTTGTCCCATTCAAGCTGACCTCATGAGCTTCTAACGCTCTGACTGTATTGTCCAAGGTCATCTCGACGGCCGTATAGACAATCGAATCACGAACGGCTGACCACGAGGGGTCCAGCCCGCCAACGAGACGGTCGGCAATTTGTCGATCGGTCGGAAGTTCTCCAATTGAGAGGAGATCGTCGGCGGCGACGCGGATACAACCAATCCACAGCGCGATTGGTTTGCCGGGTTTGTGACGAGCGTTCCAGAACGCTTCTTGCAAGTGTATGCGACGGGCGCGAGTATTCTTCTCGTAAGCGTTGACGATTTTAGTGAAAAGTCGAGACGCTGGCTTGACTTTCCTGTATTGCTGCGCTAAGGGATCGGTTAATGTAAGCCGGATAAGAGCACACACCGTTTCCAAGAGGGCGCCCCAGTCCTCCTTGCTTTCCTTTGGGTTGTACCCTTTGGAATCAGGAGGGCGAGTATACGGAGTCGCATCCTTTGCTTCTTCTTTTGGGCAAGGCAGAGTACCTTTGACTATGTCGAGGGTGTTCTGCATCCCAAGAACATCTTCAATTCGAGATCGCCAGCAAGGGAAAACGGCGGCGGTGCCATCCAGAGCTTCAATCGTAGGAATAAGGGCCAAGACATTTTGAATTTGACGATAACCGGACATGATTCAGATGGTTTGTTGGTGATAGACGGCGACCGATTTGATTCAAGCAAGGCTGAGCGATAGAGTTGAGTGTAAGGCGGCGGGATCAAGCGGAGCAAAAGCCAAGTTTATTCAAGGAACTTTAATGAGTAAGAGGAAGTCGAGTGTATGTAAGAGCAAGACTAAAAGGGTCTCATAACCTGTTGAGGGACACCAGGGACTGAAATGAAAGACTGAAGTCTGAACTCACAAGAGGGACTATTCGATGAGAAAATAATGTATTGATTCAGTGAGGAAAGAAGTTCAAGAGACAGTCCGGTAACTCAGTAGTAGTGGGAGGCTTGATATAAGCATAACTAGGTACAAGCATACGACATGTACTACATACAGGATTGACTAATCCAACATGTAGAAACCAATGCGATTGGCAATGATTTGAATGATGTTTTGCCCTTTGATTGTAATCAACAAGGTTACATGGTAATTTGATTACATCATGTTATCAAAAATTGATTAACTGGATTTTATTTTAAAATTATAGGTTGCAAAAACCATTTACTCCATGGTGGCATTTGTGAAAAACCAAAGAAATAATGGACATCAGCTCACGAACTCCCTGACTTTCCTTGCATGTGGGGTCACCGACCGGGTGAACCTATTCCTAAACTATGTGGGACTCTCTTCCTCTCGAAAAACCACTCATCATGCACTCAATAAGCTTAGCCGCCGATCTAGCCTTCTGATCTCTACCAAGATTGGGAAACTACTTGCGCCAACTTTGGGATCTTTTCTATGTTTTGACAACCTTGATTTTGAACAGAGGGTCCATACCAAATCCGTTGGCCACTCTAGTAGGATGTTTCATGGTACCTGGGGCTACGTCCACCACCCTAGCCCAAAACTTGTGTCATAGGTATCGTCCTCTGATCTCACCGTTGAAAGCTATCAGCAAGCAATGTTGAATGTAGAAAGTGTAGATGTCCACTCCAGAATGTTATTACCAACAGCTAAAGAAGAAGTGCAGTGGGAGCTTGTACTCAAGAGCCAGATTACTTCAGCCCTCCTCAAACATCTAGCCACTCCAGCTGAATCCTATGTTTCAATCAATACTAAGCCACCTGTTGTCGACCAAATATCAAGTGAGAAACCCGACATAACGATGTTGAAACTCATGATTGCTGCAGACTACTTGGCACAAGGAGCTGGCGAGGTTTTCCAGGATATTGTTGATCAGTCAAATTTGACTATGTCCGATTTTGCCTCTTGAATTCAACTTATTGATGGTGACCTTGCTACCTGTTTGAATTTCACGACTTTACAAACGCAACAAACACCAAGCAAGCACAAAGAAGAGAGTCTGATGAATGTTTTAACAACGTTGGGTGGTGCACATACGTTGTGGAATATCAGTCAGGCTATCTACTCCAAGCACGTGGGAGATAAATCAGACTCTTGTGACGCAGGTGCATGGCATTTTCTTGATGGCTTGGATATACCATCAAACAATATGCTAGAAAAAAAAAAAACTTCACACTCATGATTAGAAATATTGAAAAGATTCATAGAGCAACCTTGGTATATTGTCTCATGTAAGCTGTCTTTGAATATTTTGGGTGATCTTGGCTTGTTGTTTATTGATATTATGGTTCTATTTTCAGGCTGGTGATGGGAATTCAAGATAAACATCTCACCAAGGAGCTTCCAAAAATTTCTAGTCTGAGAATCAAACAAATAGTCAATGAAACTTACGAGCGATTCTTCTCCATTGTGGCTAAACACAATGCCACGATTCACACCTCACCAAAGCTATCAAATTTTCTTTTGAGACTGTCCAATTTTGCAACAGTTGTGGAGGGGAATTCAGCAATGAAATCAGGAGATATTGGACGGCTCATGAAAGTATGGAAGCGATGGTCTGTCATTGCACAGGGAATCAAAAAATTAACTCAATACTCAATCCAACTCCCGCAAATGATTATACTTCTCAATGAAATTTTAACCCCGGGACTTGGAAAGGTAATCAAACATTCAATGTTTGTAGCTCCTAGTGGCAAACAAAAGCACTTTGTAGCAAAGGACCACTACCTCGAAAACCAAAATTACTGGTTGAAACATTTCTTCAACAATTCCCGCCGAGGTACTAACACTGATCAACTCAAGAACATATATTCTCCAAATGTCCCTTTGGTATGCAGTTTCCTTATATATTAAACTGGCAAATAAGTATTGATAACAGATACTTTGTTCTTCTTAGCTCCGAGACTTGACTTATGGATTATTAAGTGACTGCGGAAAGGAAACAATTGCTCAATCACATTACAATCAGATTAATCTAGTCTCACTCAAAAACTGCATGCGTATGTGTTGACAAAACGACATTTCTTACATTGCTACTAAGCTCGATGAACACATTCCAAAGAAAACTGAAGACTTGTATGCTATTGGAATACAAAAAATGAAGAAACTCTTTGTGTGGAAGGGAAAACCCCTCAATAAACTCTGACCTCCACCAATGAAGAAATGGAATAGTGAAATCACCGATCAACTAGTGCCAGAACAAATCGATTCAGATGTCAGCTCGGAAGGAGATTCAGAGCCAAGTGAGGAAGACAGTGGTGACAATGGCGGCAGTGGAGATGATGAAAATGATGGAAGAGATGAAGAAAACAACAGTGGCAGTGAGTCGTAATTACCTAATCCTGGCCCTCTTATCAGTGTAAGTCTTTTTAAGTTCCTCCAGAACAATCTTGTCAGCCTCCCACTTTTTTCTTGTTTCTAACCGCTTTTTCTCATCCTCCAACTGGTTTTTTGTCTTCTTTTCAGCTTGCAAGCGTTTGTTTTCTGCGACTTGGCTTGGGGTGGCCCTTGGTTTTGTTGCTTGGACGGTCACTGGTGTTGCTTCTCCAATTGGCGCATCATGTCTTGGGAGTGTTGAAATTGTTTGGATGGATTCTAATTGTACCGGCAACACTGGGTTTTCTGACTGAGCTGATGCTGATGCCGATGGGATCTTTCTCTTCAAATTTTGTATCCGTTCCATTTTGTTATCAATGTGTTTTGAGTATTCCTCTTGTTCTCTTAAGTAATTTTGATAGTCAGAGCCCGCTCAGAAGCTGTCAATTGTTTCTTGTAAGAAGGCCAACTCACCCTCCAGTTGCTCTCCGCCAATGATATTAGCAATATCATTTTTAGTCTTGACTTGATCTATTTTTTTGGCAATGACATCTGCTTTGGTTGGCCCAAATAGTTCTTCTGGTAAAAACAATTGTGGCCTTCCGTAAGTATCAGCAAAAAACTGATTGAAACATTTGACAAGTGTCAGTGAAACCTGGAGCTTGATTGGTCTGAGTTTTCTTTCTTTTGGTTTGGTAAATCGGGTGCGTTTAATTTTTGGTTGTTTTTCAGGAAGTGGACTGGGTACATCTTTTGGATTGTTCAGTATTGCATCAAAGTTTGACTGATTCATTTGTTTCATTCGAACCTTCAAGAATTGAGCCTCCTCAGGAAAACAATTTGAACATTTACATCTAGCAAAACCCTCATTGACTTCCTGGCTTTCTTCATGGAGATAGTTCAAATCGTTTGTGTCCATTGGAATATACCCATGCCTAAATTTATATCGATCAAATGTCAGTACATCATGTAGGTCTCAAGAATTCATACAAGTACATGTAGGTCTCAAGAGTTTATACAAGTATTCAACTGACTTGTTATCAATTGAAAAAGCTATCCGGAGGCAGACTGGTGTGATGGCAAGGGCATCCATTCGTGTATCGTTTTTATGTTTGTCGGCTTTCTTGATTGCCTCAGGAGTGTTCAAGCCAAATTTGCACTTTTGTTCCACAAAAAGAATTGCTAATCCTGGCTTGCCATCACGTCCACAACGTCCAATCATCTGGTTGATACACGACGGATCCCCGCGGCCCATATGGATCACTCTTCGCACTCGTTTCCAGTTTTGGCCCAGCCCTAAGGCCATCGTGTACGATATACACGGAAAGTCGCCCCGTTCGTAACCCAAGATTGTGTCGTCCTTGTCCATATCACCAGTACCAGCATGATATCTTCGAATTAATGCGCTGTCTGGGTTATACTCTTCACCAGCTGTCCCATGAGCACTGTTCACGACTTTCATAACTTGGAATGTCGCATTTCTTGTACCCGAGTAAATTAATGTTGGTACAATATCTTCACTGTTAACTTCTTTCTTATTTCCAAACATGTTCATTAGATCACTTGCTGATTTGAGGGAAGATTCCATTGGGAATTGAAGGATTTGAAGCTCAGGCCGGGTAAGTTCAGCATGGGAGAAATGGATGTTGTCCTCTGGAATTTTGAGGCTCTTGAGGATTTCAGTGATAGCTATTGGTCGACAGGTTGCCAAAAGGAGTAGGACAGGTTTATTCTCCGTAGCCATCATCTGACGGCCCAGGTCCCCGTATGACGGCCGAAATACGGCTCGATCTTGATGTCGCTTGTGTGCAGACGACTTTTTTGCTTCCTTGTTTGCGACAAGACCCCAGCTGTACAGCATGTGTGCTTCGTCAACAACAATCAACGCAAGGCCATCTTGGAAGGTTGGGTTGTGATAGATTTCGAAGAACATTTGATTGTTCAAGAAGACCTCAGGACTTAGGTAGACAAAATTGTATGTCCCTTTCTGTATATCGGCGGCAACTTCTGGTGTGAAGTTTTGATTTTTCAGGTTGACAGATGTGTACTTCTGGGCAACCTTCTCTTTGACTTGATTGTCTCCCAAGACATTGAGCGGATTCAAAACAAGGATAACAGCCTTTTTTGTTTTGGCGAATAGATTGTAGTACATCTCCGAGATACGAGATTTCCAGCAACCGGTTCTGGCCATAACAAAAGTATGTCTTCCTTTAACTAGATTTGCCACCACATCGACTTGGACCGGCTTAGGGGGCTCATTCTCAGGGTAGCGTGGCAAGCAGTTGTCGACTATAGCTTGTTGCAATTCGGTCTCCTCCATTTGGATCCTTTTCTTTGCCAAGCTAGTTTTTGTTGATTTGTTTTTGGTTGGTGACATTCTGCGGTATCTGAATGAATTTCCAGATTGGAAAGAAAAAAAAATGATTACATTGATATTAGCAAGCTTGTTGTATCCTGGTGGGTTGTTTTTGTTGTTCTTATTTTTACTTACTCACTTGTTTGTCAATCTTTTTCACTTTTTTTTCCAGGTGGATCTCTCTTTCTCCGTCAATCTCTCTTTCTCCTTTGATCTCTCTTTCTCCTTTGATCTCTCTTTCTCCTTTGATCTCTCTTTCTCCGTCAATCTCTCTCTCTGTCTCCGTTGATCTCTTTGTCTCCGTCGATTTCTTTCTGTCTCCGTCGATCTTTCTATCTCTGTTGATCTCTCAGTTCTTCAATCTCTCTCTGTATTGTTTTTGCTTTTTTTTTCTTCAGTCAATGTTTTCTCCTTTTGATCTCTCTCTATCTCTGAATGAAAAAAAACACAGTTGTGTATCAGCGAGAGAGATCGATGAAGATATCTAGGTGGGTTCTTTTTATTTCTGCTCACTTGTTTGTTGATTGTTTTTTCTTTTTTTTTCTTCAGTCAATGTTTTCTCCTTTTGATCTCTCTCTATCTCTGAATGAAAAAAACATAGTTGTTTATCAGCAAGAGAGATCGACGAGGATGAATTGGGGTGGGTTCTCTTTATTTCTGCTTACTTCTTTGTTGATCGTTTTTGCTTTTTTTTTCTTGGTTGATCTCTCTCTCTCAATCTCTCTCTCGATCTCTCTACTTATGAGTAGATCTTTCACGTGTGTTCCGTTTCATACAAGGGTATGGCTTTCTTTCTCAACGGTCATTTGGCAAATTAAAATCTTTATTGGCTAAAAGAGAAAACATTAAAGGACCGAAAAACCTACAAGAAGGGTGTGTTTTCAAAAAAAGATAGAAAAAATACAATAGATACTGTGATGAAACTGAATCGACAGGATTCAGGACATCATACCAGCGCTCAGCTGGGATCAAACGATGAGAGTTATAAAAAATTGAGTGATTTTAAAATTGAAAACAAAAAATTCCTCCGCTTATTCTCAACATAGCCTCATGCCAACTTGTGTCAGTCAGGCATAAGCCCGGCTTGCACCTCACGCCTACGGGCGCTTGCGGGCTTTGTTACGCTTGGATGTAAGAGGATATTCTGAGTTTTCTCAGAGAGGTTATTAAGGTTAAGGATAAACAAAACAAGTTACATGACCAAGTGGCTGGTCAGGGTTCAGACTATGTGGCCCAAATTGGTTACTTGGCTATAGTTGCTAAACTACAAGGTTTTACATTTTGCACAAGCCTTGAAACCTTGTTTATCTTGAGTTTGCATTCAGTGAACTTTGTTTATGTCATCAGCTGAGTTGGTTCTGTAACTTTACAGGTCTGTAGCTCTTTAGTTATTGATTATTTTACAGAATTCTTTGTTTTCTGAGTATGTAGTTACACAGTGGAATTTAACTACATGAAGTTTGTTTTTATTTTCTAAGTAAAGTAAAAAAGTTAATTTTTATTTTTAAAGTCCTTTGTGGTCATTTGCAGGCTTCTGACCATGTATACTTTTATATGTAGATTTTTATGCTTAATATTAATTTGCTATTTATAACATTTTTACTTGAGCTAGTCTTGAGACTTGACTATGAGTTGTAATTGTTGTTTTTATTATTTATGTTTTTGAGGCCTATGGGTATGTATATACCTCAAGGCTGACATCCTAGGACATAGCACCACCAGCCAGACCTCACCCAGTGAAGACAGGATCATTGCAACTGCCAAGCCAGTTTTTCCAATTCTGACAAAGGCCTCATCTATTGGCGTGGAGCCCATGAGGCAAGCTAGGATTTTTGGCAAGGAGGTGTGTGTTTCTGATGCGTTAACACCTCTGCAATGTGAGTTCAATACCCCCCCCCCCCCCCTCCATAATTTCTGTTGAAACAGCTGGAAATCAGGATGAAAGTGGGTCGGGTCGACCCGCAAGTGACCCGGGACCCGTCGGGTCTCGGGGCGGGTTCGGTTCAACTTTATGTGAAAAAAAACCTAAGTGACCCGCTTGAATACCGGGTTGGGTTCGGGCAGCGTCTCTTGATTTTGGGTTGGCCCAAAAACCCAACTACCGACCCGCTTGAGGGCAGTGTCCGTGGGTTGGCTTCACTTCAGGAATCAGGATCCCTCGGCCCTCCGTTCAATCGGTCATCAACCGGACCTCCACCTAGCCGACCGGCGACAAGCGCTACAGGATTTGCAATCTTGGACTTGGAACGACCGACAACGCTTCAAATCAATTGAACTTGGATTCTGTTTCTTGAGCTTGGAACTTGACGGACGGACGCTTTGCGCAGAATCAAAAAAAAGTAAGACTGACAAAATACACAATCACGTTAAATAAAATACACAATTAGTTATTTGATTGATCAAAATAAAATACATGTGAAGTTACAAAAAGTTGTCTTTTTCTGTTTCTATTGCTTAGAAATGTAAATATGCTCCAAAAATTTGTTTCAAGCCTGACCCAGAAAGTGACCCGTGACCCGACCCGCCTGCTCCCCCAGGTGGGTCGGGTTCGGGCAGCAATATTGACTTTATGACCCGACCCGACCCAACCCTCCACTTTTGCCGGGTTGGGTCTGGGCACTGTTTTTTGACCCGAACCCGACCCGGTTTCATCCTGAGCTGGCAAGCCTCTTCCCCTCATAGAACTTGTTCCAACTGCAGATGTCAGCACCACCAAATCAACATCGGCTCAACTTGCAGCGGACAGTAAAGCCAAGACTCCGGTGAAGACAGAAGAAGAACTAGTCCCGACCCACTATCACCAGTATATCAACATGTTTGGCAAGTCCAGTGCCCAGAAACTTCCACCAAGAAGAATCTACAACTTTTGAGTAGACCTTGTGCCAGGAGCTCTCCCCCAAGCAAGCAGGATTATCCCTCTGTCACCCGCTAAAAACCAAGCACTCAACACCCTGATCACTGAGGGACTGGAAAATGGCACCATCAGACAAACCACCTCACCTTGGACAGCACCAGTGCTGTTCACCAGGAAGAAAGACGGCAACTTATGCCCATGTTTTGACTACCGAAAACTCAATGTGGTTACAATGAAGAATAAGTACCCCCTGCCTCTGACAATGGACCTGGTGGACAGCCTACTCGACACCAACACTTTTACCAAGCTTGAACTGAGAAAAGCCCAAGGAAACCTATGTGTGGCGGAGGGTGACAAGGAAAAGCTAGCTTTTGTCTGCCAACAAGGACAATTTGCACCCCTGAAAATGCCATTTGGACCAACAGGAGCGCCAGGCTACTTCCAATATTTCATGCAAGAAATCCTGTTGGGACAGATTGGAAAAGAAACAGCAGCTTACTTGGACAACATAATGGTCTACACGCAGAAGGGAACCGACCAAAAGCGGCAGTCATGGGAGTACTGGAGACACTTAGCAAGCATCAACTTTGGCTGAAACCGGAAAAATGTGAATTCTCTCAACCAGAAGTGGAATACTTGCGACTTTCGATATCATGTAACAGACTGAGGATGGACCCGGCTAAAGTCAAAGCCATATCTGAATGGCCGCCACCAAAGAATGTGACTGAACTGCGGTGTTTTATTGGCTTCTCAAACTTCTACCGGCAATTCATAGACCACTTCTCTGGAATAGGTGGACCTCTCCACAACTTGAAAAAGGACAGGACTCCCCATTTCTGGGATGACTGATGTAACAAGGCCTTTGAGACTTTGAAAACCGCTTTAACCACTGCACCCATGCTGAAGATTGCAAACCCATACAGGCCATTTGTCCTTGAATGTGATTTCTCAGACTTTGCCCTTGGCGCCGTACTATCCCAAATCTGCAACAAAGACCAAGAACTTAAGAACTTCACCCAGTCGCTTATTTATCGCAATCACTGGTCCAATCTGAGAAGAACTATGAGATCTTTGACAAGGAACTGCTGGCAATTGTGACATCTTTCAAGGAATGGCAACACTACCTGGAAGGAAACCCAAACCGTCTACAGGCAATTGTGTACACCAACCACCGGAACCTTGAAAGCTTCATGAAAACCAAGCAACTGACACGGAGACAGGCTAGATGGGCTGAGAACATGGGATGATTCAACTTTGAAATTGTCTTCCATGCTCTGTCCAGACAACCTGACCTGGCACCTTCAAAGGAGGACAAGCTCACCTTTAGAAAACTTTTGCAACCCAAGAACATCACCCCTGACACTTTTGCTGCAGTGGCTGAATTTGAATGCTGGTTTGAAGATGACTTGGTGGACCTGGAGGACACCAAACATTGGTTTCAAGTCAACATCCTTGCAGTAGAGGAGCCCAACACCCCGACAGAGGATATCCTGACGGACAGCAAACTGATAAGCCAAATCCAATCCCTGACTTCATCTGATTCCAGAATGACGGAATTGATTTCAGCCTGCAAGAACCCTGTTTCAAGTAGAATGAAAGAGGCCACAAAGCATTACTTGGTGAAGGATGGAGTTCTCTACAGGGGTGTACGGATTGAAGTGCCACGGAATGAAGACCTCAATGAAAAAAAATGAACCAAAAAAGTTTTAGCCAGGTTGGTTGTCCAGATTGGAGCCAAAACAGTAAATTCTAGTGCTTTACTACAATGTGGGCTGGTGAATGCCCCAATCAAGAGCTGTCTGAAGCCATCTGGAAACCAATTTTTCCAAAATTTTGATTTATAATCATTCTTCTCATTTCCAAATCTTGCTTTCTCTCAGCACACTCACTCCCCCAAAATGCATATCAAAGCTTTTGAAAAAAATCCATTTTATTTTTTATTTTTCCCAAATTTTGAAACTTTATTTTTTGTTTATATTTGTTCATATTCATTTTTTGGGACCTATTAGGCACCACCTGACCAAGTCTCATGACTTCAAGTTTGTGTTTCAGAGCTCTGGAATCCAAAATAAGCAGCCACTTTTCACTGTACCCACTGTATATACAATATAAAATAATAAAGTATAATATGTAACTAATTGGAATCACTGTAATAGAAAAATTATTACACATTACACAAACCTTTTGGAATTTAATTAGGAAACACTCAAGTAATTAAAATAAAATAATAAAAATGAAATTTTAACCCTTATGAGCTCAAATTGACACTGCCCTCCAGTATTGACTATGGCTGGCCACCTTGGTACCTCATCTGAACTTTTTTTCCAGTTTTAATTAGACTCTTGCAAGCTTGTCTCTGCACAATATTGCAGTTGGGGTTGGGGAGCAGTGAGTGCATGTCAGCCACAGAGCACCTTTCACAGTACGTGAAATGTACCTAGTAACTGCAAATAATAATAACTGATTGAATACAGGAAAATATTATACATTGTTGTTAAAATAATAAATAAATAAATATGTATTTACATTTAATCTTAATTCATAATTTGTATTCAATAATTCTATAATTAACTGTGAAATCCCCTTGAGTATTGTACATATAATATCACTAGGATTTCACAGGAAGAGCTTTAGTGCAAGGTATTCAAACAATATTTATTCTAATACATTATGTACATATTTTATAATACATAAATTAATAACATAGGTATAAGAATCAGCTAGTAGAAGCGTGAAATGGATGAGGAATAAGCTATATAAACTTATCTGAAGCTTACCCATCCTTGATCACATCATCAGGGCATCAGATTGCGTCATAACCCTCTTGGATGGCGTCATCAGGACCCTTTTGTGCTCTAATTCAAAGCTTGCATAATTAAAAGTAGCCTACACGGGAAAGGAGCCCAAATTCTACATGCAAGACTGAATTATGCATGAAGGACATGCATTTCTCATGATCACAAGCTTGCATAAGCAGAGTTACACGTATGCAACTAACTCTACAATTGCACAGTCCCTGCACAGTAACTGTAGCCATTTCAATTACGTGAGAAATAGGCCACAAAACTCAATTATGCATGTATGATCTCATGTCCTAGGACCTTCCACCCATGCATAGCACTGCACAGCTGAAGCTCCCATCCTTAAACAAAATTGTAGAGCTGCTAAGAAGCTCCCTAGTGCCCTGAGGGCCTCTCCTCTTCCCCTGAGCCCCCTGTAGAATATTTAAGGAGCCCTGATTCCTACCTTTTCCCCCCAGGAAATTCTAGTAGCTTCAAACCAACACTTGTACCATGTTTATTAGTGATTCAAACCACCAATAACATTACAACCCAGCTACCTTAGACCTAAATAGATTTACTTTGCTCAGATTCAAGGCATTTCTACTTATCTCTATTGCATAAAGAATTATCCCCCTGGTTAAACAATTCTGGTCCTTAAGTGTACATACACTTACTCATCTGGATTGTTGTTAAAAGACTTGATCCCAAGTGAGTAGAAGAATTCATCACATTGGAAGCCTATTAATCCACGTAAAAGGATTGATCTGGATGCCCAATTGAATAATTGGATGAGTCAGCAGTAGAAGTACCATTCCTCACTGACTCCTCCCTGTTTCTTTTACAGGTTGAGGGATTTAACCACAAATAAATCTTCTTCATTACTCTTCTTGTTAACACTCAGAGCACAACCCTTACAGGTTAGTAGCATAGAGGCTGACAATTGGGGGTCTGGCCTCATTTTACTCGTGATTTTTTCACCCATTACCATTAAAAAATCATACTTACTAACACCATTCTATTTTATTTTATTCACCATGGCCTGCTAAAAGGTAAATGCAGCCCATTAATATCCACTTCAAAAACATAGATCCTTCCCTCCTGGCAGAAACCAGAAGATATTACACGGACCATCCAGAGAATATTGTATTAGAAGAAGAACTTCAAAAAATAGTTAAAAAAGTTTACAGAGACACTTATTGGATTCGTACCACTACTACTACTAGTGCAGTTCTATCCAGTGCTATTTACGCCCCAGACAACACTGTTATCTCTTACACAGACTAACTAGAAGAAGTAAAATCCGTCATATCTGAGTACTACAGAAACCCTTCTTCCCTTACTCTCCCTCCTGACGTACCCCCTTTTAACTTCCAAGAGTCTGAATTAATAGAAGATACTACTACTTACACTGCTATCCCTGACTTTGGATTCTGGAACCCACACTTCAACACCATAGACTTATCAGACTGAAATTTGTCACTTCTTGACATTTATCCCATTACTTCTCACCTCAATAGGGGGTATCAAATATAACCAAATCCACACTTTTTTAATTGACTGGTTTTGAAAAACCCACAATTTTTTAAACATATGAGTTCTTCATCCTACCCCTTCGTGGACCCATTGGTGGAAAAAAA